ACTTTTTATCTTTCTTGAATCTTGTACTTGAAGATCAAATTTTTTGTTGAGCTCTGGCCTTTTTATCAGGAAGTTTGGAAGTCCCTATTTCGTTGAATATCCATCTCCTCCCTTGAAAATCATGCTCATTTTTGCTGGGTAGTTGATCCTTGGCTGCAATCCAAGCTCCTTTGCCTTATGGAATATCATGTTCTATGCCCTGGTCTTTAATGTAGAAGCTGCAAGGTCCTGTGTAATCCTTACTGTGGTTCCATGATATTTAAATTGTTTCTTTCTGGCTGCTTGCAGCACCTTCTCTTTCATCTGGTAATTTTGGTTTTTTATTATATTCCTTGGCGTTTTCAATTTGGGATCTCTTTCAGGTGGTGAGTGGTGTATTCTTTCTATGGTTATTTTACCTTCTGGTTCTAGGACTTCTGGCAGTTTTCCTTTATGATTTCCTGAAAGATACTGTCCAGGCTCTTTTTCATCATGATTTTCAGGTAGTCCATAATTTTTAAATTGTCTCTCCTGATGATTTTCCAGGTGGGTTGTTTTACTGATGAGGTATTTTACATTTCATCTATTTTTTCATTTTTTGTTTCTGTTTGATTCTTGCTCTCTCTAGAGTCATTAGTTTCCATTTGTCCTTTTCGAGTTTTTAACAGATTGTTTTCTTCTGTTAGTTTTTGTACTTCTTCAGTTGGCCATTGTTTTTTAGGGACTTGTTTTCTTCATTGTACTTTTTTTCCAATTGGCCAATTGAATTTTTAAGGACTCTTCTACCTCTCTCATTTGACTTTTAAAATCCTTCTTGAGCTCTTCTAAGAAGGCTTTTTGGGCTTCAGACCAGTTCTTATTCCCTTTTGATGTTGTCCTCTTCAGAATTTCTGTCTTGATTTTCACTCTTCTCATAATATGAATCTATGGTATGTTTCTTTTTACTCATGGTGTTTCTTTATTCCCTGGCCTTTAAAGAGATTGAGCTGTCCAGCTGAGGAACAGAGGGTACTGACCCAAGCTTCTTGTGTTGGGAGCCTAGGTCTTGGTCACTGGCTGGGTCCAGTGTGCTGTGTGCTGGGGCCTCTTATGTTGGCAGTTGGAGGCTGTAGGGTTCTTGCAGGTTACCTCATGTTGGGCTGGAATCAGCAAGGCTGGAACTTTCAGGCAATTCTGGGTTACCTGCTTTTCCTTTCCTTTAGCTTTCTTCAGCTCCTTTTAGAGGGATGGTGCAGGGTGTTTATCTGCCTAGGGCCCCTTGTGTGTGGCCTTCCTCGTTTCTGCTAATGCACTGGGAGATTTCTTTGTGGTAGAGTGCTAAGCACCTGGTAGTTTTCTCAGCTGGTTTCCACCAGTTCCCACCCCACCCCCACTGAGGCCCTGGGAGGTCCAGGTGTTGGTGTTTGCCTGCTCTACCACCTGGGCTTCAGGATCTCTTCCTGATTGACAGTTGGAGGCTGTAGGGTTCATCATGAGTCCTTCAGAGTTATCTTGGATCATTGTATTCAGCTGTAATTTTTAATGGCTGATTGACTTGAAGCATAACTAATCATGATGATAAAAATATCTTAAATTGCCATTAATTCAGGATGAATAAAAAAGAAATAGAGCAGTTTGGAAAAGAGTAGTGGGAGACAACAAAGCCTGAAACAAATTATTCTTGTGATAAAAGTTGCCAAAAGATTTTTAAAATCTAGCTTGGAGGCAAGATCAAAAATAGTGAAGACCATATTTCAGCGTTCATGGTGTGATGGTGATGACAAAGGGATACCTGTGAGAAAGCTAAACAACTAAAATCTTCCTTGGCTTTTGTTTTCTCATTAAACAGTGGTGAACTTTGAACTAGGAATTAGAGCCCAGAAACTGTGAACGCGAAGTGGATGCCAGAAGTAAAAGTCAGGATCCAGCTGTTCTGATGGGAGTGTATAATATGCTTCATTGCTTAGCCACTATCATGTGTCTCTGAAAGATCTTGGAGAATGGGGCAAAGTGCCACAGGACAGAAAAGGTGACATTTACCAAGTTTCTAAAAAGAGAGGGTAGATTCTGCAAAGCCTCTGGGCTACTGACTTTGAATTCTTGCACAGTCCTAGAATATATGAGTAAATGAGTGGTTAGAGAGAAATTAGAAAGGTTTCTTTTATTTCTTCTGTAAGGCTTTGTGCTATTTCACTATAGTCATTTCTAGAAAAAGATTTTTTTCCTTCACCCTCTAAATTATATGCTTTAAACCAAAAAAGTAGTTGCATAAAAATACCAGTGATAGTAACTTTATGTCACAGTTCAGTAAACATTCTCCTCTAGTGATCTCCATCTTCTCTGTTTCAGAAGTGGTAACATTTGGTTTAGATTTTATTCATAATTGATGGAATAAAACAAGCATTTCCTTAACAAAGTACAGTAAAAAAGATGAACATAAAAAAGATGAAAATCCAAATCTGCTATGCACAACTTGCTATTTTTTCAAATGTACAATAAAATTATCATGTAAATTTCTTTTTTTTGCTTCTCTCTCCATTTCAGCCTAGAGATGGCTACCATTAGACACGTATGCTTTTATGTAAATAAAATTATCCTATATGTTCTTCTGTTTCTCAGTTCTTTCTCTGGATGAAGATAATGTCTTTCTTCACATATCCTTTGTAGTTAATTTGGGTATTTATAATAGTCATAATAACTCATTCATTCAGAGTCGCTCCTAAAATATTGCTGGTACTATGTACAGTGTTCACTTGATTCTGCTCATTTTTATTCATTATTTCTTGAAATCCTTCTATGCTTTTCTAAAATCTTTTAGCTCATTTCTTATAGCACTGTAGCATTCCATCACAATCATATAACACGGCTTTTTCAGCCGTTTCCTAATTGATGGGCATGCCTGGAATTTCTGTTCTTTGCCCCTACAAAGAGAGCTACTATAAACATTTTAGAATATATAGGTTCTTTTCCCTTTTCCCTATTCATCTTTGGGAATAGACCAAGTAGTAGTATTGCTGGGTCGAAGAGCATAAGTAGTATAATAAGTCTTTGGGCATAATTCCATATTGCTCTCCAGAGTGGTTGGATCATTTTACAATTCCACTAACATTAAATTACTGTCCCAATTTTTCCACATTCTCTCCAACATTTGTCACTTTCTTCTTCTATCATTTTAGCCAATCTAGTTGGTGTAAAATGCTGTCTTAAGGCTGTTTTTCTGCATTTCTCCAACCAATAATGATTTAGACCAATATTTTATGGGACTAAAAATTATTTTGTTTTCTTCATTGGAAAAGTGCCTGTTCATTTCCTTTGAGCATTTATCATTTGGGGAATGACTCATATTTTTATAGATTAGACAAGGTTATATATTTTAGATGTGAGCCCTTTAACTGATAAATTGTCTATAAAATTTTCCCCATGATTTTCTCCTTTCTTTCTAATCTTGGCTATATTTCTTTTATTAATACAAAATCTTTTAATTTCATGTAATTGAAATTCATCTGTTTTACACCTAACTTTGCTCTCTGTCTGTTGCTTATTCGTAAATTATTCACTTATCCATAAGTCTGATAAGTAATATGTTCAACTATTTTTTCCAGTTACTTGGAGCCTAGCATATTTTTATTTTCATTTTTTACTTATATTTTTGTAATTTTGCATATTATATCTGGTTGGGTCTGCTTATTTTACACTGTGTCAGTGTATATCTTCCTTTGCTTTTCAGAATTCCTCATATTTGTCATTTTTAACTGTATAATGAGTCCAGTGTTATTCATGTGTTAATTTTTTCTAGCTATTCTTTGAGAATTCAGTTTGTTTCCAGTTCTTTGCTGCCCCAAAGAGTGCTCTTATGAATGTTTTTGTGTAAAAACTCAGTTGTGGCCTTGGTCTGGTGATAGAGAAAGGGAATGGCAACATGGTACAATGAGAATAACCCTGGATTTGAAGCCAGGAGGACCTAGGCTCAAAGTACTCATCTACCATTTACTCCCCTTTTGGCATTAAGCAAGCCATTTTCCCCCTTTGGGCCTTACTTCCCTAATGTGTAAAATGAGATAATTGGACTATCAAGTCTCTTCCAGCTCTAAATATATGAACTGGAAAGTAGTGGTCCTTTAACACCCTTTTCAGCACTAAAAAGTTTTCACATGCTGTTACAAGAGATTGTAGTCCCCCATGCTTGCCTTTGCTCTTATGGTTCCAGGAACATAGAACACAATCATGGTCATTTCAGAGCGCCACATCTTAAGAAGCACAGTGATTAGATGAAAAGAGGAAAGTAACTGCCTTAGTTGTGAAGAGGTCAGGCTAATTGGTCAAAGGGACTATGCTTATTTACCCTGTGGAAGAGAAGACTTAGGACTACAGTATATCTTAAGTTATTTTCATTTTCATTATTTTATTTCAGCAAGTAGGAAAGAAATTAGCTATATTACTGCTTGAGCTCAGCATGCAGGAGTAGGAGTCATGGGTGCACATTGTTAGAAGAACAACAACAACAACAAAACACCACACCACACACATTTAAAAGTGATGTCTTTGTAACAACTTACAACAATAAGCATTTATTAAACACCTATAAAGTGCCAGGCACTTTGTAAGTGCAGAGGATGCAAAAGATGGCCTTATATAATGGCCCTTGCTCTTAAGGAGCTTACAACCTAATAGGAGAGGAATTCTTTTGTAAACATTTTTATTCATTTAATTTTTAATTTAATGAACAAAAGAAGCATTTCCAAAATATAGTATGGTTAAAAAAAGATGATTGCGTATGAAATTGAAAATCTATCTATTATGTACAACTTGCTTTTCCTTTTAAATATGTAATAAAGTTATATAAATTTCTTTTTTTCCCTTCCATCCCCAACCCTAGAGATGGCTACAATTTCACACACACACACACACACACACACACACACACACACCCCTGATGTAAGATCATTCTATACATACTTCTATTTATTAATTCTTTCTGGGACAGGAATTAAGTGCCTGCTATATAACAGGCATTGTACTGGGAACAAATGAATAAATGAAACAATGCCTTGTGGCAAATGAAGGATGAAATGACTGAGGAAACAAATGTTCTGTCTTTTGAGCATATCAGTTTATTAAGCAGTGCATGGTAATTGCACAACAAACTGGGACCAGGCCCCTTCCTTAACTTAGGTCTGGACCTGAATATGTGGGGAGATGTAATTTTATACATTAGAAACAATTAAACAGGACCAATTAATTACAAGGAAATAATACAATAGTAGGTAATCTGATTTCTAATTGGAGGAAAGATCAGGGACTTTCCATGTTGGTAAGGGGAAGGGCAACAGGTTCAGTTCCCTGAATTCAGAAATGAGTGTCCCACTCCCCCCAGGTGTCTGTATACAATCAAAAGAACATGGAACAAGAAGTAATTGTTCGGTGTGGGGTCAGTTTTCAGGTAAGACATACGAGTTGCTTTGAGATGTGAGTAAACTCCTTACATTAGTCTTCTTGTATCTGACTGGATTTCTGGTCAGCATGGGTTTCTCGGTCCTTTTTTAAAGAGTCTCTAAACAGCAGGTTGAGGAGGTCTTGTTTCCCAGCCACAGAGGGCTAGTTTCAAACAATGAGGTTTTCTCTCAATTCCCACAATTGAATAAATTTTTGTCAAAAGACAGAAGTTAGACTATAGTTATAATGGAACAGAAAAAGGACTGAGCTATCCTTTGAATTGAGTCACAAAATGGAGTTAGTATGGTTGACTCAGTTGCCTCAATGTACCACTTGCTGTCCTAATGCCTTCAGTTCCCTCACACTGCTGGCAAGCAGTTTACATTTATTTGAACTTCCTAAGAGTTAGAGCTATAGCTGGGTAAGCACAAATGCTTTTGTTATTTCAGGAATCAGTGACATTCAATGATGTGGCTGTGGAATTCACCCAGGAAGAGTGGGTACAATTGAATCCATCTCAGAAAAAGTTGTATAAGGATGTGATGCTGGAGAACTATAGGAACTTGGTCTCTTTGGGTAAGAAAAGCCTTGCTGTCTTAAAGTCTTGCTATATACTATGCCAACTCAAGATTTTAACAATTATTCTTTGGCATAGAAGCAGAAAATAATACTTATCCTTTTGTAGCGCATTGACAGATTACTTGTACTACTTGTTTCCAGGAAAAAGGTTTTTTCTTAGTATCCTTGGAAATTGATTTCCTGATTTGTTGTTATCCTTGAGGATGTATCTTCCTCTCTCTGTTGGTTCATATCCAAGATATTCTTTTTAATCTCAATATATGTTTCATCATGCACAGTATTCCCACCGTCCAAGCAGTCAAATGAACTATTTTTTCCTAAATCCTACTCAGTAATCCATTCTACCATAATATAGAGTATCCTTCAGTGGTCCTTTGTGCTATCCTTGAGGTCTTCCTAGCATGCCTACTTGAGGGTTTTAACTGGCTTTGAATTCTTTTATTACGTTTTATAGATGCTTTGTAAAAAAAGTGTAATTTCTTCTCCCTTTGCCACCTAAAAAAGAAAAGGAAAAAAGCCTACTTTTCCCTCCAACCAGCCCATTAAGGCTCCCTTGGTTGGGGGAAAAATCTCAGATGAAATGAGCTAACATAGTAAGAGTTGGAAGGAATATTTCATCTACCTATTCTATGATGGAACTCCAAGATGACTCCCTACCTCTTTTTCCTTTTCAAAAAACAGGATTTCCAGTTTCCAAACCAGATGTGATCTACCAGTTGGAAAGAAGGGAAGCATCTTGGATGCCAGAGGCAGATATTTCAGGAAGCAGCTGTCCAGGTGACTATATAAAAACCAAGCAGTTGGGTCATTGCAAAATAGTGATCTGTTGGTCATTTTAGGTCAAAACTCTTGTAAAACGTTGAACAAAGTGATCTATCAAAGCTTCTTAGATCTATTAAGAGGATCTGAGCCTTTAAAACTTCATTTTTTACCTCAGGAACTTACTCTTTTTTTTTAATGTATCTCTTTACTGAAATGTACCTCCAGTCTCAAAGAAAGTTGTTGCATCTGTACAAGGCAGTTGTTTCTCTTCTGTTCATTGAAGATTATCTTATTTTAAGCAGGTATTCTCTGCCTCACTTGCATGAATTCATCCTCCCTATTAATTTTTAAAACATTAATATTTAGTTATTATTTAATCAACTTATCGATTTAATTATTTAATATTAATATTAAAATAAAACTTTAAGATATTAAGTATTGTGCTCTTTTTGCTTCTCATTTCTCCTGATATTTTATTTTGTTTTTGTGATTATGTTGCTTCGCTGCTGTTACTTTTAAAAATATTTAATCCTAACCTGATTCTCATTTTTTCAATCTGTCATCCTGTTTTTCTTTATGCTTTGAAATCATATTATTTATAAAGGCACAATAATGTGTTCATATGACTTGATTAACCATTACCCCATCATTGGACATATAGGTTTTCATTATTTTGCAGTTTCACAAAAAGGTATTGTGAACATTTTAGAGAGAGTTCTTTGCTTTCAGTAATACTTTGAGGGTGTAGACCTGATAACAGGACCATTGGGTCAAATAATATGAGTAGTTTTGTAGCTCTAAAATTACTATGTTACTTTTAAGAAAAATGGCAGCAGCAGTTTCATAAGTAGGTAATTCAGCATAACTGCCGAAAGTTACCATTTTAAAGAATATTTGGTAATCTAATGGCTGTTTATGGACACCTGTCACTTGATTTCATTTTTACTTTTTTGATTACCACATTTTGAGTAATGTTTCACATCGATATTAATAATTTCTCTTGTCAGAAATGCTTCTATGTCTTACTCTTACAAGTTTTAATCAAGTCCTTACAAAGTAGATGTGTTGGATTTTTTGAGGAAATTTATGGCAACAGTTGTCACATTTTCCCCCTCATCTTTCTTGTTTATTCTCTTTACTTCATGTATTTATTTCTTCTCCTCACTCTAAGTTCCCTATTTCCTTTCTGTTCAATCTTTTTTTCCCTTCCTCTTTTAAGCTCATATGGTAAGACTATATTTGCAAGTTCTCAAAGTCATCTGTTTTTTTTCTCAATAGTTTTATTCCTTTCAGATGTCAACCACGTACAGCAGAATTAAGGGTTAATTCATCCTTCCTGGTAATTTCATCCTTAGTCAATTCGTTTACATGTGTTACCTTTGAATCTTCATACTTTCACATAAGATAAACTGATCCTTAGCGAAAGACTAGTGAGACTTGTCATCTGAGGTGAGAAGGCAAGAGAATAGTTCTGTTGCGGTTTCTTAGTGTGTTATTGGCAACACCATCTCAAAGAATTCAGGGGCAGCTAAATGGCACAGTGGATAGAGCACTGGCCATGGATTTGAACTCAGGAGGACCTGAGTTCAAATCTGGCCTCAAACACATAATACTTTCTAGCTGTGTGACTCTGGGCAAGTCACTTAATCACAGTTGCCTCACCAAAAAATTAATTAATTAAAAAAAGGGAAATAAAAATATCAAAGAATTCAGACTCAGACCACTTCTAATCCAAGTATTGGCATTTATTGAGGATTGATGCCCCTCAGAAGTAGGCTGGTTTCCAAGAGGAACCAGGAACTTAGGAGAAAGCAAGATGGATTTTTAGAGGGTAACAATGCAATTACATAATAGAAATGATGAGTATTAAAAAGGCAGGATGGATTTGTTTAGGGATTAGGTAATTCTGGGGTTTGGCAGTCATACATCCTAGTTGTGCTGCCCTCTGTTTGGCTAGCTTTGTGGTGCTGTTTGGTCAAGATAGATAGTAAGGTACCATGGGCCTGTCTTGGGCTAAATGGATGATGTGATTGTGGTTGAGTATAAGAATACACCTGTTCAAATACATGAATTGGATTCAGAGGCAGTGGCTAGCTAGGGCCAGTGGCTGTATTGAGTCTGGGGGGCCTGTGGTGTGGTTAAAGCTAGATTAGGTGGTTAAATCATTGAGGCCTTTAAGGAAGTTAGAATATTGGGGCCGGAGGCAGCTTCATCAGTTCTAAAACCTTTGAGCAACTAAGAACTTTGGGAAAGGGGGGAAAAAGGCAGGGTTAATTGGCTCTTTATTCTTCCTTTCAGGGAGCAGAGAATTTACTGGAGATAAACCTCCTGAATGTAATGAATGTGGGAAGGCCTTCAAGAGTAAGGCAGCGCTTACTGCTCATCAGAAAATTCATACTGAAGAGAAACCTTATGAATGCAGTGAATGTGGGAAGGTCTTCAGGATTAAGACAAAACGTTCACTGCATCAGAGAATTCATACTGGGGAAAAACCTTATAAATGTAATGTATGTGGGAAGGCCTTCACTTGCAAGACAAATCTTATTCACCATCTGAGAATTCATACTGGAGAGAAACCTTACGAATGTATTGAATGTGGGAAAGCCTTCAGGATTAAGAAACACCTTTTCCTACATCAGACAGTTCATACTGGAGAGAGACCATATGAATGTATTAAATGTGGGAAAGCCTTCAGGATTAAGCAACAACTTTCACTACATCAGACAGTTCATACTGGAGAGAAACCTTATGAATGTAGTGAATGTGGGAAAGCCTTCAGGATTAAGCAACAACTTTCACTGCATCAGAGAGTTCATACTGGAGAGAAACCTTATGAATGTAGTATATGTGGGAAGGCCTTCAGGAGTAAGTCAGGGCTTATTGTGCATCAGAGAATTCATACTGGGGAGAAACCTTATAAATGTAGTATATGTGGGAAGGCCTTCTGTAGTAAGCCAGGGCTTATTGTGCATCAGGCAGTTCATACTGGAGAGAAACCTTATGAATGTAGTGAATGTGGGAAGGCTTTCAGGAATAAGTCAAGGCTTACTGTGCATCAGACAGTTCATAGTGGAGAGAAACCTTATGAATGTAGTGAATGTGGGAAGTCCTTCCAGGGTAAGTCAGAGGTTACTGTGCATCAGAGAATTCATACTGGAGACAAACCTTATGAATGTAATGAATGTGGGAAGGCCTTCATGTGGAAGGGAAATCTTACTCGACATCAGAGAATTCATACTGGAGATAATACTTATGAATGTAATGAATGTGGGAAGGCCTTCAGGATTAAGATACAACTTAGACTGCATCAGAGAATTCATACTGGAGAGAAAGCTTATGAATGCAGTGAATGTGGAAAGGCCTACTGGAAGAAGTCACATCTTACTGGGCATCAGAAACTTCATACTGGAATTTTCTTTATGAATGTAAGGGGTGTGGGAGGGGTTTCCTGTACAACTCAGATTTTACTCGACATCAAAAGATTCATACAATAGAGAAACCTTATGAAAGTAGTGAATGTATGGAGGCCTTCAGGAGTAAGACAGTACTTCATGTGCACCAGAGAATCCACACTAGGAAGATGCTTTATGAATGTAAGCAGTGTGGGAAGGCTTTTCCCTGCAACTCAGCACTTATTCGACACCAAAGTATTCATACTGGAGAGAAACCTTACAAATGTAGTGAATGTGGGAAGGCCTTCGGGATTAAGACAAAACTTAGTGAACATCAGAAAATTCATATTAAAGACAATTCTTTTTGAATGTAAGGAATATGGGAAAGCTTTCCCCCACAACTCAGATCTTAATCAACGTTAAAAAAAATTCATACTGAAGAGAAACCTTATGGATGTAATGAATTTCAGAAGACCTTCAGAGTGAGAATATAACTTACTCAATAAGACAGCATTAAGGAGAGATACTTTTTTAAACAATTTTTTTAGGAGAGAAATATTAAGAGAGTAATGCATATAGAAAAGCCTTTAGACTGAGGACAGTAGGTGTACATCAGAGAATTCATCCTAGTGAGATTCCTCATGAATATGAGGAGTGTGGGAAGGCCTTCCATTGCAATTCAGATCTTATTAGATATCAAAAATTCATGCTGGAGAAAAACCTTATGTATGTAGTGAATTTGGGAAGGCCAAAGTTATACCTTATCAATATAATGTATAAGGGAAGGCTTTCCAGCTGAATGTACCTTTTACTCAACATCAGAGCATTCATACTGGAGAGAGATCTTATGAATGCAGTGAATGTGGGAAGACCTTCAGCCTGAAGACACAACTTGCTCAGCATCAAAGAATTAATTCTGGAGAGGAACATTTTCCGTTTGGGAAGGTTTATAGACTATGGACACTACTTTATGTCCATCAGATAAATCATACTAGAGTGATTCTTCTTGAACATAGGGAGTGTGGGAACATCCCCTATCTAACTAGACTGTGATTCTGAATCCCTAGATGTAGTTCAGAGAGTATTTAGGCTCCCTGGGTAAGAAGATATCCCTCCCCTCTGCAGAGGCCTCTAAAGGGGCAAAAATTTAGTGTTATCCTCCCATGGGCCTTCAGGGAGGGAGATATGCTGGCTGAGCTAGAGGTTACTTAGTGAATGGTAGTATTGGGAGAGCATTTGCATCTATTTTGATTCCTGGAAATATGGCATGCAAGATGCTTGGGGATGACCTCTTGGCCATGAGATAAGCCTGAGCCTAATATGTGCTGAATAATTGTTGACCGTGCTTGAGGCATATATCACATGACATGTGAAAAAATGAATAAGATTCCTGTCAGGATTAAGGAATATAAACAGAGGTTTCAATGCAGAAATCAAAGCTAACAATAATAATGAAAGCTCTAAATCACTATTAATTAGAGAAATGTAATGAAAACAACTTTGATGTATCAATTCACACTTCCTCAGATTGGCCATCCTGACAGACAAGGAAAATAACAGATTCTGGTGGGGATGTGGAAAAATAGCGACACTAGTGCGCAATTCAGAACTTGTCTGACCATTCTTGAGAACAATTTGGAATTGTGCCCAAAGCGCTATAAAGCTGTACATACCCTTTGACACAGCAATATCACTGCTAGGTCTATGTTCTGGACAGATAAAAGAAAAAGGTAAAGGATCTATATGTACCAAAAATATTCACAGTATAAATTGAGGGGATGTCCATCAATTGTTGAATGGCTGAAGAAGTGGTTGTATATAATTTTCATGCAATATTATTGTGCTCTAAGAAATGAGGGAGATGGTTTTGGCAAAACCTGGGAAGACCTATATAAATAAATGTAGAGTTAAGTCAGCAGAATGAGGTGGTCCTTGTACACAGTAATAGCTATATTTTAATGAAGATTACACAGTCACATAGTGTCTGAGGCCATATTTTGAACTCAGGAAGATGAGTTTTCTTGCCTCAAGGCTTAGCACTCTTTCTACTGCATTACCTAGCTACCTGGTCTGAAAGCCACTGAAATCACTAGAACAGAATGACATGATTTTTTCATATTAATTTGCTAACTGTATAGAGAACGTTTTTGAAAAGAGAAAGACTGCCTGTGTGTTTTGTTCTGGATCTGTGATTTCTTCTTTAGGACACTTGCTATGTAAATTATTTTCCTAGGCAAACCATGATGCCAGAGGACTGAAGATAAGCATGCTGCCCATCTCTTTTGGAGAGGTGATGAATTTAAAGTACAGAAAGAAGTGAGACCAATGCGGAAATTTGTTTTCCTGGACTCTTTCTGTGTGCGCGCGTGTGTGTGTGTGTGTGTGTGTGTGTGTGTGTGTGGGAAACAAAGGTTATACTTGCCTTTTTTGTTTCATGAGGGAGAAGAAAAAAGAATCGCTAAAAATAAAAGTAAATTTTCAAATAAAAAAAGATTTATGATAAGGGTCTAGAGGATATGTAGCAATGAGCTGGAATACACGTTGAACAGCATTACATAAGGGGAAGCTAGTGGTGCAGTGCACAGTGTGCTGGGCTTGGAGTCTGGAATGCTTATCTTGCTACTTCAATCATTGAGTCAGATGTTTAGCAGCTGTGTGATATTGGCAAATTACTTAATCCTGTTTGTTTCTGTTTCCTCATGTAAAATGAGTTGGAGAAAGAAATGGCAATGGGGGAAGCTGGGTGGCGCAGTGGATAGAGCACTGGCTCTGGAGTCAGGAGGACCTGAGTTCCAATCCCGATTTGGACATACAGTACTCACTAGCTGTGTGACTCTGGGCAAGTCATTTAACCCCACTTGCCTCACCAAAAAAAAAAAGAAAGAAAGAAAGAAAAGAAATAGCAAACCACACCAGTATCTCTGTCAGGAAAACTCAAATGTGGTCATAGAGTCAGACATAATTGAAATGATGGAACAACAGTATGTATGTATACATATATGTATGTGTGCACAGATACACACATTTGAATGTAAGGTTTTTGGAAATCAGGATTGTTTAATTCTTTGCCTTTGTCACCTTTGTTGAACTAAGTGCTGGATGCATAGTAGGTGCTTAATAACTGTTTTTGATTATTTAATTGGTTTGAAGCTACCCTATGCAAGAAGGATTAGAATTACTTATTTTGGATTAGGAATAATTGGTAAACGTTGCAATGAGGGAAATTTAGGTTTGATTTAAAACAACTTACCAATTAAACCTATTTGAAAGAGAAGTGGGCTTCTTGAAGAGTCTCTGCCCTCATTGCAGGCTGGATGGGTACATTTAATGCTGTACCATGGAGGAATTCATTTTCAAATATGATGTGGAGTAGATAGCCACAAGTTCCTTTCTTATACTCAAATTATGTGATTCTGTGCAGTTTCAGGTCAGCCACAATTTTTTTAAAAAAATTAGTTTGTGTCTTAACCTACCCCTTCTCCCATTACCCTTTCTCCATCTGGCCCTAGGGACAATTCAAATGGCTTCCTTCAAATATCAGAAAACTGATTTCTATACCCAGGGCATACTTAAGCACAGCAGTAGAAGGTGAGAAACAAGGACAGCATCCTTATAGCTCAGAACGTGTTCAGTAACCATGAGTCACACTGTGTGTCATGAGTAGGGAGTCATAACCTCCTGCCTTCCCTCAATCCTTCCATGCCTTACTAGATAGAAGAAGGAGAAGAGATTGTACAGGATAGCAGCAAGTGGACTTAGGAACATGTATGAGGCCTTGTTCCCACAGGCAGAGTATGTGGCAGAAATGATTTCTCATGAAAACAATGGGAGACAATGCTAAGCTGACGTTGTAGGGGAAATGGAGTTGGTGAGAGAAATGTTTGTGCAATACAGCTCCTTTGATGTAGGCCTACATGGATGCATGACTTCAAATGTTCATATGGACTATTTGTGCACATTCTGTGGTAGAGCCTTCTGAGATGGTATTGTTCTGATCAGTTACTTGTCAGGCACACTGTATTTTGACCCCAACATAGTGATGTGATTTTGGTCCTCTTTGTGCACAAAGCACAACACTCACCACACTGATGCCATCTGTAAGTTAAGAGGCTATTATGGTATGTTGGTTAGGAGAATCTTCAAACCAGGTCAGACTCAAGCCTCTTCAACTTAGCCAGATGGTGCCTTAGCTCTTTGGGAAGAGGCAGTGGGTGGGATGAAAGATTTTATGGTAGAACCTTGATAGTGACTCATGGGTTAGAGGGATTAGGAGATCTAGTGACCTCTGTACAGTTTTTTAGGGTTTTTTTGCAAGTATCATACTGAGCATATTAAAGCCAGGAATCTGAAAGGTCCACAAATAACTTGAGCCTGTCCCAGTTTCTCACCTTCTACTCCAAGACAACTGGTTGAATTCACATGTTAATACTGTAGGGAAGCCAAGATTAAGTTTCCAGATGACTCAGAGGCTTTAAACATTCAGATAAGAAGGATATATAAAACTTGGTACTGCTCTCTGATCTTCTTCCTTTGTTATTACTTGATTTTCCTTAGACTAGTTTCATTGTTAGTATATGGGAAGAATCCAACTTCACTCTTGATTTTGTGGTGAAAGTCTTTCAGTCTTTACTCAGAATACAAACAATTTCTGGGAGAGGCAACATTTGACTCACAGAACCTTCTGTCATTTCTTTGAGATCTAATTACAAAAAATTGCATCTCATATTTATAGCATATGAGGAAAAGGGAAAACTGAGCACAGGCAGTTTTATAAGCTGTTCCTTATACCATAAAAATAGAATTGTCTATAACTAGAGAGATAGACAGAGGGTACTTCTTAGCTATGATGTTGTATCAACTATAACATTGTGAAAAAATTGACAAGCAGTTTGGAAAAATTGGGGCCCAATATATACTTCTTCGAATCTTATCATTATGATGGTAACCTTTAGCCTCATTCATTCAGTTTGGGATCTACTGGGTCTTTAGACTTGCATCTTTGATGTTTTCCAGAATATTTGTATTTCTTAATTTGGGGATTTTACCCTGATCCTTGGAGTCATTGTTTCCTTCCTTAGGTATTCATAGACTGATTATTGAGAATCATTTTATCTGGCTTGCATAGTGTGCAATTCTTTGTGTTTAAGTTCTCATGTAATGGATGGAACATAAGAGGAAGGAAAAAAAATCACAGAGTGGAACACCTCATTCTGAATTTAAGGAACTGAACCTGTTGCCTTTCCCCCTCCCAACATAAAAAGTCCGCAGTCATTTCTCCAATTAGAAATCAGATTATCTAACATTTTACTATTTGCTTTTAATTAATTGGTCTTCTTTGATTCTTTTTAATTTATAAAAGTATGTCTTCCACTATTCAGAGTTCAGCCCTAA